TTGATCCCCAATGTTGAAACTACATGTTGTAGTAGTAGTGTTAGTAACAGTTGTTGTCGTTACCTTACATTTCAGTTATACTTTTGGATCTGTCTTGATTCAAACAGGAGAGAAATAACTTGACTAGCCCTAAATTAAAGTTATAGTTAAAACTCGTCCCACAAAGAAAAATTCAGGACCGGATGCCTTAATTGTTAGAATCTACCGAACATTTAAGGAAGGAATAATAGCAATTCTACACAAACTCAGAAAAAAGAAGAGAAAGGAGTACTTCCGAACTCATTTTATGAGACTAGTATTACCCCAATACCAAAACCAGGGAACAATATTACAAAAAAAGAATCTATTAAAAAAAATCTATAGACCAATACCATTCTTGAACATAGACTCAAAAGTCCTTAACAAAATATAAGTAAATCATGCTCAACAATTTATAAAAAGGATAGTACACATGACCAAGGAAGGTTTATCTCAGGGAAAAATAAGTCGGTTTATCATTCAAAAACCAGTATAGTTCTACATACTAAAAATAAGGAAAATTGTGTTAATTTATATAGAAAGGTATTTCACAGAATTCAACACCTGTTCATGGTAAAGGCTCACACAAACTAGGAATAGAATGGAACTTCTTCAGCCTGATAAAGGGTATCAGTGAAAAAAATCTACAGCTAATATCATACTTCATGGTGAAAGATACATCCCCTGAAATAACTAAAGTTAAAAACTGACCATCCCTATATTGGCAGTGATGGAGTGCCTGCAATGCACATTGCTAGTAAGAATTTAAAATGTTACTAGTACTTTAGAAAAGAGTTTGGTAATATATTAAACACATACTTATCATATGACCCAACAGTTCTACTTTTAGATATTTACTCAAGAGAAATGAAAACGTAGGTTCACACAGATACTAGTACACGAATGTTCCTAGCAGGGACATTTGTAATAGCTAAAAACTAGAAATAATCCAAATATCCATCAACAGGTAAGCAGATAAACAAATTGTGGGATATCCTTACAGTGGAATGCTACTCAGTGCATACAAAGTAACAAATTAGTGATAAAAGCAACACCATGGGTTAACCTCAAAAGCATCATGTTACTATAAAGAGGTAGGCACAAAAGATAGGTATTATGATTCCATTTATGTGAAACTATAGAAAGTAAAGATCATTATTTGCCATGTGTAAGGGATTTTGATGGGATTGCATTGGAAGCCTCATGGGTTCATTTTAGGGGGAGTGGAAATGTTACATATGCTGATTGTAGTGTTGATTTTGCACGTGTATATATTTTTCCAAAATTAATCAAATGATACATTTGAAATGTATTCATTTCACTCTATGTAAATGGTAACTCAATAAAGTTGAAAAAACTGACCTCTCGAATTTTTTAGAATTCTCTTCTGAAATATTCTTTGTATTCAGGGAAAAACAACCAAATATATAGCTTAACGTCTATTTTTTTCTTTTTGTCATGTAAATTAGAAAAATTCTGGCACTGAATCTTTCTGGATTCTGTATATATTGACTAACATAGCATGGTGTCTTAAGTAATTGAGAGCTGTGTAGTAAGGTGTATGAACTTGTGCACTAATACATTGCAGTGGAAGCTTGGATTATTCATTTGGGTATGGGGTAGGATTGCACTGGGTGCAGAACAGGTATTTCCAAAGATAAGGTATAATTATAATTACCTCTTTTTATAACTGAAACAAATCGGTATTTCTATTTTTATTGGAAAGTAATGCAGATGTCTTACTACTTGAGTATCCTCAACAAAGATTTAATTTTTATGATTTTATTTTCTTAGGTTACAAGAGAAGAAAGCTTATTAAGTCATAAAAATGCCAATGTTCAGGATGCTGTCACAAACAGGTACAGTTTTGGGAACTGAATTAAATTGATGTTCTTTTCCTCTTAACTTTCTTTTAAGGGGGTGCTTTTCTCTCTCTTTCCCAGTCTGTGACCACGTGGTTTCAGAATATCTGTGTGAAGGATAGCTTGAATTCACTCTTTTATTCACTACTTAGCTTCTTAGAACCTAATTTTAGGTTATTTGAAGATACTCCTAATTAGTCTTTCTACATTCTCATTCTTCTTCAACTGATTCAAACTATAGCGCAAAAACAGCCTTTAAAGATATTTTTCATCTTACACCTAATGAGGAATGTATATTATTTCTCTTAGGCAGGGTAGTTAATTGTAGTGTCATACTGCCTTTGCAGTGGTCTTGTTCTTATAAACTTTCTTACTGTGAGCTGTCGCATTATTCAAGCAGATTTCTTTGCTGTCCCTCTGAGTTCCTCCTGCCTATCTTTTCTTTAATGGGTATTATGCTATTTATTTGTCTTACTAGATTTTTATCCCCTGCTCAGTGCCAGTTGTTTCGTTCAGCTCTGTGTAGCCAATGTTCTTTGCTTATTTGGTGCTAAACATTGTTGAATGAATGAATGTGTTTCTTTTTCCGTTATTCAAAACTTATTCCGTGAAGTTTTCTAATTAATTCTGGTTCACTTCCAGGTTCTGTAATCAACATAGCATATAGCATATAACACGCTTTGTATAAAGGACTTTACAGTTACTAAACAAACATGCTAATTGGTGATCAGGGTAAAACTGGAATTACAAAGTAATCTTTTAATTAATTCTATAAATGAATTTGTCCACAACATTTTAAGTACCATTATTATTAGACCTTTTAGAGTAACCTTATCAAAAAATTTCTTTTTTGCCAAGAGAAGGATAATGATCATGTAACTACCCTGTTGTTTAACAGAAATTTCATTGAACTCTGGAAGCTAGAAGGATCTTAGAATATGTTTAATTTTCTAAATGGGTGTTGGTGTTTTGAATAATCTATTCTCTTCCCAGGATTTAAAATGAATCCTTTAAAATATGCTTAAATTCTTATATAAACTTGAATCTATTTCTGGATCTTTTCCTTTTCCCCATACCATACCACATTTCTAAAAATTTGCTTTACCCCTTTTTTGAAAGGAAATATTTCAGGCATAGTGAAAACTATGGAGATTATATAAATACATATCTGTGTACCAGATGTCAAGCTTTGTCACATCTTCATATTTTGCTGCAGTAGATTTTGATCATTTTTCTTTTATCTTTTTTATTGGGTTATAATTCTCATATATTTGCTCTTTAGAAGTATGCAGTTTAATGCTTTTTAGTACAATGACAAAATTGTGCAATCCTTACCATTATCAAATTCTCTAATATTGTCATCACCCCTAAAAGAAACACTATGTCAATTTGCAGTCTCTCCACATTCCTCTGTTTCCAGCACCTGGCAACCACTCATCTACTTCAGTTCGTGTAACTGAAATTGTACAAGATGTGTCTGGTTTCTCTCATTTAACATAATGTTTTTGAGGTTCATCCATATTGCAGCATGTATCAGTACTTCATGGCTGAATAATATTCTAATGTGTAGATATACCACATTTTGTTTGTCCATGTGTCTGATGGACATTTGTGTTGTTTCTACTTGTTGCTATTATGAATAAAGCTGTTATAAACACTCACATGCAAGAATTTCTGTAGACATGCTTTCAGTTCTCTTTAGTACATACCCAGGAGTAGTGTTGCTGAGTCATGTGGTAACTTTGTTTTTACCTTATTGAGGAACTACCAAATTGTCTTCCAAGACAGCTGCATTTCCCAGTCCCACCCGCAGTGTGTGATCGTTCCAGTTTCTCCATACCCTTGTCAATGTTTATTATTCTCCATTTTAAAAATGTATACCCATCGCAATGAATGTGAAGTGGTGTCTCATTGTGGTTTTGATTTTCATTTACCTAAAGAATAATGATGTTGAACATCTTTTCTTCTTTGGATAAAAGTATTCTGATCATTTATTTTTGTAGTGACAACTTTATTGAGATAAAATTTCAAATACCATACAGTGCAGTTCACCCACTTACAGTGTACAGTTCAGTGTTTTTTGTTTTGACATTTGAATTTTAAAAAATCATCCATGGTTTCTTCATTTTGACTGCTACAACATATGCATTCTTTTATTAACGGACAGATGTTTGTTCCAAATTAACATTGTGTAGGTTCTTTCTTATACACACATGTTGTAAATACTTTTCATCTGCTATTTCTTGTGTTTTGCAGCAGTGTAAACTACATAGGACTCATCTTTTCTTCCTTTCTTTCTCTTTTTTTTTTTGGTTTGGCCTCAGGATTCTTTTTTTAAAATTGAAGTATAATTGATTTACAATTTATATTTGTTTCAGTTGTACAATATAATGATTCAGTATTTTTACAGCTTATACTCCATTTAAATGTATTATAAATTACTGATTATATGTAAATCCTTGCAGCTTATCTATTTTATACATAGTAATTTGTACTTTTTAATCCCCTACCCCCATCTAGCTCCTCCCTTCTTCCCTCGCCCCACTGATAACCTCGTTTGTTCTCTACATCTGTGAATCTGTTTCTGTTTTGTTTTATTCATTTGTTTGTTTATTTTTTTAGATTCCATATATAAGTGATAACATAATGTATTTGTCTTTCTCTATCTGACTTATTTCACTAAACATAATACCCTCCAGGTTCATCCATGTTGTGGCAAATGGCAAATTTTAATTCTTTTTGTGGCTAATATTCCATTGCATATTTGTGCCACATCTTCTTTAGATTATAAAGAAGTCCACTTATCTGTTGTTGGATACTTAGGTTGCTTCCATATCTTGGTTATTGTAAATAATGCTGCTGTGAATTTGGATGGGGCATGAATCAAAGGTAGATGATGGTCTTTTGGCTTTTTCCCCTTTCCTCCCTGGTGTTGAAGCATCTATAAGACTATTCCTTTTCTTGTTATTCTTACCTGGGGTTAGACATCCTTGTCATTACTGCTGGGTCTGCAAGTAACAGATCTCTGGCATCCTCTCACCTGGCTTGTCCTATTTTCATGTCTGGAGCACTCTCGATGTTGCTTCTGCCTTCTGCAGCAGAGCCCTCCAGCTTGTGTCCTTAAAAGGTGGCTTCTCCTTATGGTTTCCTGACTTGTTTTTTCATATCTCAGGTGTTCTATATAATTTCTTTCCCACTGAGCTTTCCCATTTATGTATTTGATAACAGCTTTCAAAAATCAGTCTATTGATCTGTCTTTTTTTGTGTATGTCTATCTTACCTTTTTTGTGTGTCTGTCTTTTATATAATTTCTCTAGATTTGATGCTTTTTGGAGGAGACTGTAGCATTTAATCTGTCCATAATTCTGAGATCATCCTCTTCTACTGTGCATTTCATAGTTTTCAGGATTTCCTCAAAGCTTCTGAACTACTACTGACACCCTTTATTGGTTTTGAAGTTATATGAATTTTTTCTTTTGTTAAAAATAAATATATTCTGTCATTTCATTGAGATTTAGGAAGGAAGCTAAAGTAGTCTACAATTTTGATCCATCTGTGAATGAGTCCGACCTGGATATGAAAACTGTTATATGGTGGGTGGGGAAGGGGTTCACATCGGTATATGCGGGCAGCACTGACTGCAGTCATGCTCCTCACAGATGTGATTTCTTCTTCCCCTACATGAATTTGTTATTCTTTCCTATAAGCCTTTTCTTTGAAAATGCTTCCTGTGCTTCCTGTGTAGGTCCTCCATGATGTGAATTTATCTTTTTTTTCTTAGTGCTGTATTAAAAGAGAGTACTGTGCCCCTCCCTGAAGAGTCTCTTACTCTGATGCATACAGCACCTGCAGAAAACGGTTCTATTCTAAAGGTAACAGTTACTTTTACTTTTCAAGATTTCTTCCAAAGATCCTACTGAGTTAAATCCTGAGTATAACCAAGGACATTTGGTGACTTCTGACTGACACCAGATCTTAAGGTATGGGAAAAGCATTGAGCCTCGGTTCTCTTGGGAGAATCCTATTGTGAGATCCCTCACAAGAGTATCTCAGGGTTTCTTCTCCAGTTGTTGTGTTACTTGTTGGTATTTTTGTTTTTTTGGATGATCTCTGTATTTTTGTTTTTTGGATGTTGGCTGTGCTTCCCTAGTGTCTCAAACAGTACATGGCATATAGCAGGCACTAAATAAATATTGATTGATTGAAATTACTTTTCTGAGATTGTATTGTAATACAACTAGCTTATCTCAACTCTTGCCTTTCCTGTATCCATTTGCCACACACATAAAAAGAAAACATTTGAATATGAAAACAAATATATGTATGTATATGCATGACTGGGACATTGTGCTGTGCACCAGAAACTGACACATTGTAACTGACTGCACTTCAATTTAAAAAAATAAAGAAAAAATTAGAAACCACCTGTATTCCCACTACCCAAACACAGTATGTAGTTAATATTTGGTGTATAATTTTTCAGACTTTTGGGTTTGGAAAAAAAAACCAACCTGAAATACCTTCAATCAGGAGATTCCTTTCTGCTAATTAAAATTCTAAAAAGATACATTGGCATCTTGACTGATCCTTGAAAATTCTTATGTGGAACCTGAGATGTTTTTGAAACAGAGAAGGACATTTAGTTCAAAGATTTTTGCGTATTGTACCAGACAACATGCTAGGCTTTGAAAATTCAAAAATGAATGAAACATGGCCTCTTCTTTCAAACTGCTTATAGTACAAGTGGAGAGAGAATTTTAACACACTGTGGTAGAGATATGCACAAGCTATTTTGGGGCACTGACCCAGGCCCCAGGTTAGGAGGGGCAGATGTGAGGAGAGAGAACAGGTTTTTCATGTGTATGATTCAAATTAAGTTGACATTGAACAAGAGATGCACCATGGCCTGAAGACAGATAGATAGACATATATAAATTAAGGGCCTTTTTTGTTATGTACTACACCTTAGATACTTATTTCTCTTATTTCCAGATGGGAATTTTATCTTTTATCCTTTTAAAACCCTTCCTATCCCCCCACCCCAGACACACACACACTGAAGTATAGAGCTCTGTTTCTATAAGGTGTTTCAAATTCTAATTAAGTAAAAACTATTAATTAACATTTATGGGGGGTAGTTTATATTATATTCTTGTAAACAGTGAAGCATCCATACATATGGATAAAGAAGCATTTGAAATTCAGGCATCTCCTTTACTCACTGTCTGCTGTGGTGAACCTTTTACCTCTTTTATCCAGTTTAAGAGCTGAGAGCCAGAACAGTCCTAACCCTACCCAAGTTTTGTCTCACCAAAAGGAATAGCTATAGGAAAATTCAGGTAACACTTTAGCTTTTTAAAGTTTTGCTTGCAGGTTAGATTCCCCTCTAAGCAAAAGTGGAATCACTAACAACCACGATTCCTGAATGTCCCTGTTTGTTGAATGGGTCACTTCATGCATGTGTACTTTGTCTTCATAGGACGCTACTGATGAATTGGATGCCTTGCTTTTGTCTCTAACTGAGAATCTAATTGAGCACACAGTCACACCTCAGGTAAGTACACTTTAAAACAGCAAGATGGAAAGTCATTTCTGTCTTGAAAAATGTTCCTGCTAGATTCCAATTTTTGCCTTTTCAACAATTTAGTAAAACTTTTCATTTAATAATAGTTTCTATTTCAGTAACCACTTAGCATTGCCTTTCTAAAGTACTACCAATTTGAATCTGTGTGTCACTGAATAGTAACCACGTGTTACCGTAAGCCTGTTTGTAAATTCAGCACCATATTTGATAACATGAGAGGAACATGTGGGGATAAACCAGCTTCTAAAGAGTTCAGACAGTAAGACATTCAATTTTTAAAAAACACTTACAGAAAGGTGGGAGCGTAAGAATGTTTGGCATTAAACATGTCAATCATTATTTCAGTTTGGGAGATGGTGTGTTAAGTAGTGTGACCATAATACAAATAAGAAACAGTTCCTTCCCTCCAGAGACATACAAACAAGGTGGGGCGAAAGGTATATAAATAATTTATTTAGTGTCTTATGAGCGATATGACAAGAATTGCTGTGGGAACTAGATGCCTTTCTGAACCCTTGGAAGTACAGATGGTACTTTGGTGCTAGATGTTTGCTTAGACCATTAGTTCTCAAACTTGGGTGTGTTTCTGAATTACGTGGAGAGTGTATTAAAACGCAGGTTGCTGGATTCCACTCTCAGAGTTTCTGATGTGGTATGTGTGGGGTGGTGCCTGAGAAGCTGCATTTCTAACATGTTCCAGGTGATGCAGATGTGGTCTGGGAACCACCCTTTGGAACCACCAGTTTGGGTCAATAAACAAACAGATTTTACCAAAGGATAAGAATTAATCACAAGTCTGGAAAAGTGAGAAAGCAAAAAATAAAGGGGATATTGGCAATATTGAGCCATAATAATCCTTTAAATAGACAAAAGAGGTAACTTCTAAGATTAATGCAAAATGACCTGAAGCCCAGAAGGAATGTTTGGGGCCTCACTCAGAACACTTACTGCACGTATTCAGTCTCGTAAGTGGGTAGGTGATAACAGTAATGAAAATCAGTTTGATTAAAAATATTTCTTACCATTAAAACATTTTTTATTCCCTACAAATTGAAAGTGTTTTTTTTGTTTTAAATTAAAATTGAGAATATTTATTTTAGACTCTGTATGTGAGCCATCTATTCTATGACACTTACCAATTTTTCAGTTGTTAGAACTGTAATACTCATCTAATAACTTTAGCTTTTTCATTGATTTTGATATGTCATAAGGCCAGTCCAGAATCATCATGCAAGTGTTCTGCTGTTTTTGCTTGTTAATTCTTTCACATGATTTTTAGAAAAACTTTGTCAAGTCTCACCCCTCTGAAAACCTATGAATTTTTACTTATAATTGCATTAAATTCATAAATTAACTTGAGGAAAGAACTGATATATTTATGATAATTTATCTTCTTAGCCAAGAATACAGTATGTTTTTTCTCATCCAAGACTTCCTCTTTTTCTAAAAGTGTAGTTACAGTCTCCCTAGTATGAGTTCTACATTTTGCTGTTTTTGTTATTTCCAGGTCCTTCATGTTTTTTTGCTATTGAGATTTTTTTCCCAATTATATTTTAAGCTGTGTTTAAGAAAGCCATTGTTTTCTGAAAGTAATTTAAACCTTTCATCAATTATAACAGTAAAGCTGTAAAAAAAAAAGTTACAGATATTTAAATATAGTATGCATTTTATTAGGAAAAGTGTTTTATTATCGTATTTTTGTGTTTATCTAGGTTACAATTACCATTCTCAAGCAGTGTCCAAATTATAATTATAAAATTCCATCTTCCCAGAGAGGAACAAAGGCAGAACCTGAAAGTTAGAGCAGGAATATCCATTACTAAGACTAGGGAGAAAGTTCTGGAAAGCACTAAGATTCTTGTCACTTTGGGAATTGGTGAAAATGTAAAATAAATTTGTGACAAGAAAGTATCTCTAAGACCAAATAAGGTAGTATCCATTTTTTTAAATGTTGGGTGCCCCAATTAAATTAATTATATATCTCTCAGTCAGAGTATCTTTTTAGGTCCATGCAACGGTTCTCTTTTGTTTGTTTTATTTTATTTCAATTTATCCTCCAGTCCCCACTTCCATTTCCCTTTTCCTGTGAGGCACCCTTTTGCTTTATTTGGTATATATCCTTCCAGGCCACCTTTCATACATTTACTTAGATAAACATCCTTATCTCTCTCAAGGAACAGTGGGAGAATTTGGGATATTTACTCACAAGTAGGATTGCGGGGTTGCATGCTTATGTGAATACTTAATTACACTTGGTATTGCTCCTTGCTTCCAGAATGGCTCCCACAGTTTATAGTCCCATCAGCAGTGCACACATCTTTGCTGCTTCTCTCATGTTCTTCCTTAAGCTGTACTTCATGACTTTGTAATCTCTTCCATCTTTATGAGTTTGTCGCATTGTTTCAATTTGCATGAATTAAATATTCTATCTCCTCCATTATTTTAATGCTGATTTAAGTTTCTTCTTTGAGCCAGTTACCTATTCATATCTTTTGCCCATTTTTCTGTCGTGTTTCCTGATTTTTTTTTCTTGCTGATTTTAGGAGTTTCCTGTAAAGTCTAGATACTAATTCCACGTCAGCTTTAGATATTAAAAGTATTTTCTCCTCATCTGTGTATTAACACATCTGAAGAATTTTTATCACAGTATCATTTGTGGTAGGTGGCGGGGAGATAGAGACAACCGGTGTCTATCACTGGAGAGATGAGTGAGTGAAACAGATTTACATCCTTCATGAACAAAAACCTTTCATTCTGATGGCACACATTCTTTTTTTCCCATTATGGTTTGGGGTTTTAAAAAATCCTTCCTCATCTGCTTCACCCCCTGAGATCACAGAGGTAGTCTTTTCTGCTTTCTTCTATTAGCTATAATTTTATTTTACCTTTCACATTTAGATTTTAACCCATTTAAATAGTTTGAGGGTTTTTTGGGGGGTGGGAGGAGGTGTTGTAGTTTTGATATCACCCAACTTTGTATTTATCCATATAAGGAGCCAGTTCTCTTAATGTTATCTACTAAATAATCCTTCCTTTCCCAGTTGGTTTGTTATTAACCTTTCTATTCTCTTCCATTGGGCCTTTTCTTTTCTGTTCTAGTACTACTGTGTTTTTATTACTCTGGTTTTGTAATCTGTTTTAACATTAGTATATCCTTACTTATAAATTTTAGCATCAATATGTCAGATTCCCCCCGCCCCCAATTCTGCTGGCACTTTAATGGTGTTTGTATTAAATTTATTATTTTAGAGATAACTGGCATTTTTATGTCTTCTTTTTCATGAACATGATATATATCTATTTTCTTATCTTTATTAGACTCTCTAAATGTTCTCTGTAAGTCTTCTCTATTCTTTGTTAGGTTGAATCCTAAATACTTTATAGTTTTATTGATATTGTGAATGGTATTTAATTTTTTACTGTTGAATTCATAAGTTGATTTTGTGTCTAGCAAACTTGCTGAATTCTTTCAATAGTCAATCTCCTGATTCTCTTGAATATTCTATTAGTTTCTGGGGTGTATTTAATGTCTACAGTTACTGATTAATCCATTTCTCACCTATTGCTGGATCTTTTGATTTTTTTGTATATTTTGAAGATAGGCTGTGGGATGCATATATATTAATGGTAATTATACTTTCTTGAGTTCCTCTTAGCACTTTAAAGTGTCCTTCTTTGCTCCTTTTTTCCTCTTTTTATTTCCCCTTTGATAAAAACTTGATAACCTTGCTTGCTTTTAAGCTTGTATTGCCTTATATGAAATTTCCTGTCATTTTGTTTTCAGCCTTTTCTGTGTCTGTTGGTTTTAAGTGGACCTTTTATGAACAACATTTTGCTGGATCTTGTTTTTTAAATCTTTTTTGAGTCTCTATCCTCTGATTTTAAATCCGTTTATGTTTACTGTAATTATGGTTATTATAGATTTGTTTCTGCCATACTATTTTTTTGTTTACTTTTATTATGTTTCTTTTTTCTCACTCTTATTTCCTATGGTAAAAGTGCATTCTCTCAATATTGATGAGGAAGTCATGTTTTATATTTTCTTTTGGTGGTTACCTAACTTACTAAGACCTGGACTTAACATTAATTTTTCTTACCAGCATCTGTGGCCACTAGTGCAGGGACTAGTCTAAATTTCCATGAAATAGGGGGAGTTGGGAGTTCATTAGATTATAATTCTACACATAGAAGTAAGATCTAGGAAATAAAACATTAAAAAGAATATAACAAAGGCCCCATGAGTCAGGAGCAGTATGATGTTTTTATTGCTGTTTTCTACATGCATAATTAGAAAATGAACTGTATATCGACAGGGTTTTGTGTGTGTGCGCTTTTTTTTGCTGTCCATTTGAATTAGTCATAATCCATTGTTGAGAATGCTACTAAGAAGGCTATGATTATTTGTAATGAACTGAAATTTCAGAAAATGAATAAATGTTAAATTAGATGCTAGGAATGAGGGAAATTTCCTGTTAAATGACCTGAAAGTAGTAGTAGCATTCATGGAGTATTTAGTTTTTAAATTAAACAGATTCTCAAACTTTTGACAGTTCCTTAAATGGTGATACATGGCATCTGTGTTGTAGAAAAGGATCTTGGATTCAGAATCCATGTTAGCTCAGGGGACACCATTAGGAACTGCTTCCCGCCACGCCAGTGCATTCCATACTAGAGGAAAGCATTCTGGGTATAATTATGAAAAGAAGTCAGTCTTCCCTAAAAATAAATAATGTATAACATTTATTTTAGGTATCTTCAACGTCAACAATCACACCCCGTTGGATTGTGCCAGTAAGTTAATGATATTTGCAATTTTTCTTCTGGTTACCCTTTCAGAGTGAGGCCTAAAGCAAGTACCAGGCTCTTAGTTTTCCTTAAAAACATGGAGTCATTATCCGTGCTCTTTTAATTGAACTTAATGGCTTCAAATTAGTGATTTATGTTTTCTCTCTGTATATGCTTAACGGTGCTGCCAAAAACAAAAATAAAAATCTGATGTGAAGGATGGTAAGAAACAAACAAAAACAAAACAAAACAACTCTGATCATGAAAATCATCTTCCTTATTCCTGTAAACACTAGAGAAGATGATTTGGAACTGAAGTGCTGATTATTGGGTAGATCTTGTCACCTTTGCTCAGATGTGTCGTGTATCTTCCTCAGCAGAGCACTGTCCTTTCTAAAGGACTTGCAGGAAGTGGATTATCCTCGGTGGGGAAGGAGGGACATGGTGGTATCTCGCTGATCTCTCCCCCAGCACCGTTCTTGGTGGATGCTGTGACCAGGTGAGGAAACAATTGCAGTTCTTAGGCATCTGTTAGGAGGGAAAAAATAATAATAAAATTAATTATACTTAAAGCAATAATGTCAATTCTTTAATTAAACTTAATTGTAACTGAATAAATCTTTTCTTTGTTTATCATTTAGAATAGTATTTTTTCTTTTTTTCATGTCAGTAGCAATTTTCTACAAAATTATGAAGTAGACCTTATTTTTTTAATGAAGTCTTCATTAGAGAAAGATGTTAACAGGTTTATCTTTAAAAATTTATATTTGTTTTAAAATTGATTTATGTTTTTTCCTATCATGCTTTACTATCATATTGTCCGTCAGTACAAGTGAAGAGGCACACATAAGGGTGAGGTAGGGAATTCCAAAGGTGGGAGCGCTGAGAGAGCTTTTACTGAAACCTATTGCAAGCTCATTTTAACATACTGCTTGCCACAGACAGAAGCTGGGCTCAAAAGAGCTTTTGTTCAGCATGTAGTTCTTCAACTTTAAAAAAAAAATTTATTTTTAACTTTCTTTTTGGTGGGGAGGTAATTAGGTTTGTTTATTATTTACTTAATGGAGGTACTGGGGGTTGAACCCAGGACCTCTTGCATGCTAAGCACGCACTCTACTGCTAAGCTATGCCCTCCCTTGTAGTTCTTCAACTTATAATTGTTAGGACCAAAACTGTCCCTGTTTTGCAAAAGATTTATGGGTGCTCATTTCTCACCTCAGACTTTTTCCTACTATTTCTCATATCCACCTGGTGCTGAACATGTAGGTCAGTTGAAGTGTAGATGCTTTACTAATTAGAGGGGAAAAAATCCTAATTATAAAGGAAAAATTATTGGAAATGATTAATTTGAGAGAAATTCATAGTTGCATTTTAACATTGTTCTCTCATCTCCATAGTCCTTAAAGTAATATAATTATTCACTTATCAAACACTTCCTGAATGTCTGTTATGTACCAGGCACTGATTATATCTGGCACTGAAGATAGCAGTGAACAAGACAGGCATGGGACCTGCCTCGGGAAGCTTACATGTAGTTAGTTGTCAGATAGCACTTTCTACAAACTTAATAAGCTGTTTTCTTAAACGTTTCTATGACTATTAATTCCCATTGTAAAAACAGAGATTATGTACAGAGGACTAAGTAATAATTCTTTGTAATTGAGTGTACACAATAAAATGTGAGTTCTTGAGGGTTCCAAATTAGAAGTTACAGATGACATCAGAGCTTGTGTCCATTCCCTGCCAAAGCAAAGTAGTCATTAAGGAATTAGATAAAAAATGACAAGTAGTACACCTGAAACTAATACGGTGTTGTATGTCAGTGTTGCAATGAAGAAAACATGGCAAGTAAATTAGTGAAATAGAATCCAGAAATAAACCCAGACAAACACAGTTATCTGAATTATGAAAAATGGTGGTGTGGTGCTGAAGAGGAAGAATGGTCTTTCAGTGAATCAGCTGGAAAAGTTAAATATCCTTGTGGGAAAAATTAGTCTTTTTTATTGAAATATAGTTGATTTACAGTGTTATATTAGTTTCTGG